TTTTTTTTGGCAAACAGGACTCCAAGTTATAGAAAATCTGCTCTGAATCGTAAAATGAAAAATACAATAAAACTAAGACATTATCCAATTGGAAATGCTTTTAATTGCTTTTATGAATATTATGCACACTATTATAAGATGTATAATGAATTTTTAAAAGAATAGTTTTCATTTTTTTAAAAATTTTTACTAAGAATAATTTATAAATCTTAATATTCTGTATGAATTTATAGTGTTTAGCTGATATTGCCATTAAATAAAAACTATATTTACTATTTAACACCTGGGAACATTTTTTACTGTGTGTATGGCTTGTCTTTCTTGTGTCCTGTCTTCCTTTTGAATTCTAGAAATTCCAGGCTTTGCAAATCAGCCTTTCAAAATCTTAAAGGAAGTCTTATTTGTTTTTAAATTTCTATTTCAATAGATATTACCTATAATAAAATAAACATTTATTCGAAAATTTCTAATTTTTCTTCATCTTCAAACATTAACCAAAGTACGTAAAATTCAAAAAAAAAAAAAAAAAAAATTAAATTGTCTAAAATATTTTGAATTTTATTGGGCAGTTAAAAAAACCTTTACAAAAACAAAGTGTTCATTTAGAATTCGTCAAATAATTTCAACGCGTCAGGAAAACAAGTCCCCAAGGTTAAGAAATGCTTTTTTACGATGTTTTATGCTAAAGGGTAATTAATATTTTTTTCAAATCCGATTAACATTAACTTTGCTAATTCTCCTCAAATAAAATTTCAGAAAATAATATTTTATTTTCGAAAGATTTTAAAAAAAAAGAAAACTAGTTTGTGTTTATGGATGTTTAAATTAGTAAATATGAACGAATTTAGCAATTTTACTGAAAAAAAAAAGAAAAAAGATTTCAGTCAATCTAAATTCGGTTTGAAATACACCAAAAATATTTTGGCTACTACTCGGAATGGTAAAATTAATATATTAACTTGGAATTGAAGCCAAAATTAAAACTTCAAGATTTTTCATTTTTCAAAATGCATTTTAAAATTAGGCAACGGTTTTTATTTGAGGTACCGTATCACTTTTTTAAACGCTATTTTTAGTGGACACCCATATTTGAGTAGACGCTCCGTTTATTTATTAAACATGATATTTATCCATTTTCATCTATCAGCCTGAATATTCGAGAAATCCTATTTACACTCATTTATTCGTACCTGCGTCCACCTGGACACAAGGAGCTATCGTTAAATGAATTCGATACGCTCTGACCAACTGATCTATAAATAACAAATTAGTCAGGCTAGACCCGAATTGTACCTTTAAGTGACATTTCTCTCGTCATAGATCTCCCGAAAATGTTCATATCTGGATAGTTTTAATAGGATTTCTCGAACATTTGGGTTGAAAATAAATAAATAATTTCACGAAAATAAATAAATATATTATTTGATAAATAAATAAATGGGGCGTCTACTCAAATGCGAGTATCCACTAAAATAAGGTTTAAAGTGAAAAATATGTCGGATTAATAAAAAAAGTCCATTCTAAAAATTATTTGTTTATGTTTGGATACGAAACTATGCAGATATGAAAAATTCGGGAGATATGTGACTTTTAAAAGGTAAGCTTAAATATTAATGCAATACTTAAATGCAGCGACTAATTTTGAGTTCTTCTGTAGTTTATTGTTGTCTATCGCATCTACTTCTCCATACTTATGAAGGCTCAATCAAGAGCTCTCCGCAAGGAGCTAGCTTAACAGATAGTGTATAGTTTTAAATGTACGCTATATTTATGGGTGAAAGTGGTCCATATTAGAGACAAAGATTACAATAACGCTTCCATCCGAGGTTTCGTTTTCCGTAATTTCAATTTCCTGTAGCTATCTTAGAAATAAGTAATTTGTTGAATTTGTTTAATAAAATAATGATCGTACCAAAACACAAGAATAGTGATAAACTGAATTTCCCAAAGAGAAACGATAAAGTGCTTTTTTTTAAAATGAAAAATGTTAAAATTCTTGAAAGAAATCGTAAAAAAAAGAAAAGAAATCATACGCTTAAGTTAACAAGATCTACAGTAAGAACGTGTTCTCTATCCCTCATATGATTTATTACAATTGAGTATAATGTTGTAATTGTTCTACTTCTTCGTTATTATTATTATTATTATTATTATTATTAATCTCGTATGATGCCTAATAAAATCTACAGTAAGAATGAATTTTCTAGGCATCACATAAACTTTGGTATTAATTTCTTATAGCAGTTCTATTTTAGTAGTTATTGTGGTTTACATATTATTGTGCTTAGTACATAATTTTCAGTGTTTGATGACATACAAGACAGCTTTTTCCTTCAAAAAGATAGCTCAAAATATTTCCTGAGTCTTAAACGTTACAGTATCGAGTATAACATACCCGAATTAAAGGAAAGTTAACTTTAATTGATAATAAAAGGATTTTATTATATACTAGCAGTAGAGCCCGGCGTTGCCCGGGGATGTAACAGTAAGAGATAGATCAAGTATCGACCATCATAAAGACAGAAAAATAAAATTGGCAAAGATTATTGTTTAAGCTTGACGGACACGCATGTCTTAATTAGTTTTTTTTTTTTTTTTTTTTTTTTTACGAATTAGTCAAACTCAAACAAAAACATTGTTTTCAATCGTTATGAGTCTATCGATTGAATAGAATTTTATTATAAACAATTGTCCTGTAAATGGAATTTTTAAAAATGTAAAAATAAAGAAAAAGTGTGTAAGACATTAAGAAACACTACCTGCCAAAAAAAGGTGAAGTTTTGTTGAAATCAGTTAAAAAATGTAGGAAATCCAACCCCATATATAAACGAACACACACACACACACACACACACACAAACAACCTGATATGAGTTGTCCCCCTTTCATTCTGGCGACAGATGCCTCTTAATCGTGTTTTCAAATTGATTTTGTGCAAAAACAATTGTGTTTTTCCAATTTTGGGCGCTGTCAGAACCACCGCAAGGTAATTTTACGTAGTCCTGTGAAGTTTTGTTGAAATCGGTTGAAAAATGTAGGAATCCAATATATAAACGTACAGACACACACACACACACACACACACACACACACACAATCTGCGTTTTATAATAAGTAAGATCAGAAACTCGAGAAAAGAAGAAAGCTACGCTTTTTCCTTATGGCATGTTGAATATATTGTACCACTGTTTACCAAGATGTCAAAGACATCGATGTGAGACAACGTGAAAGAACGAGTTGAAACAGAGCGTCCGAACTCGAGTAATGTCATTGTTTGACGTGAACTGAAACCTTTATTCAATCCAATTTTCTTATAGATCGTGAGCGGATTAAATCTTGGTGTTTTCGAACACACGGGAACGGTCCTGATTAGTCTTCAAATTGCTTTCTATTATTAGTATTATTTATTTGTTAATACCACCGAAACCAATGTACGGAACCTATGCACAAAAAGACACGTTTATATAGTTCTCTTATAAACATGTAAACTTCCGGCTATGTCCTCTGGCGATGTCTCATACGTAAACTACCCAGATTGTTGCACAATATCAGTCTACAATGCTGTAACAAATAATATTATATGCGCATTTTTATGTTCGTATCTATTATACTGAACCCAGGAGCTTCTGGCGCGAAAATGTCTGCTGCATACTGTAACACTGTTTACATTTTTCATGGCCCGTTGTCTTGAATTATATATTTATTAGTTTTTTATTCGTTCACCCCCAGCTATGGGTTAAATAGCAGGCCTTGTATCTAGAAAAATCGTTGTTAGTCTCAATAAATATTAAAGCAATGTTCACTCGCAAAAAAAGCAATTAATCTTTTAAATTCGAAAGAGTTGTTTTATATAACTCATAAAGAATCAATCAATATATATATATATATATACATATATATATATATATATATATATATATATATATTGAGACTAACAATGATTTTTTTAGATACAAATCTTTCTATTTAACCCATAGCTTTGAACGAAGGTAAAAAAAAACAAAGATGTAATTCAATATTATATAAGCCACAAAGAATCAATTAATCTTGAAACAATTTTAAGAAATCCACGGCAACTCTCGTATTCTTAGGTCGGTTTTTTCTTATTTTTATTGAGAAAACTTTGAATTATTCATTTACTAGAATACATTTCGTCATAGGATGATGTTTTAATATTAGAAATATGTTTACCAATGTGTGTAATATTAGGTTTTATTATTTTATGTCATCCATATTTTAGCTGGTCTCCTGGAAAATCTGAAGCATGACACTCGTTAATTTAAACAGGATTTCATCACATACAAGTAAAAGATAAAGATGAAAAGCATATGTAAGTGTTGCAAATTAGCGGGCTCTGAATTTTATACCGTGATTATTTAACTTTTAAATTCCCTCTAATACTCTATACTTAAATGCTGGTCAGTTTTTCTGGAAAAAAAAGTTTGGGCCCAAACTCAAAACTGCATTAATCTTGAAAACCAAGATAGAATTTTAAATACGATTAAGACAAATGACGACAATTTTTTTTCCTTTTGCATATAACCGATCGACTTTTACACGGGTTTGTACGAGATCTTCGAATGGGGGTGTGATGGGAGGAGGGAGATAGTAATTGTTTCAAACATTTTTATTAAAGAATAAAGTTCATTGCAATCACTTCCTAACTGTCACTATTCAAAATTCGTCAATTTGAAGAACATCGAAATTATGGAATTGATAATGGTTTTATTGAAAATCATGGCCTCCCAAGCCGATTCCTCAAAGAAAATCTCTCCAATGAAACGTTTTCTCTCTTTATTGGGGTAGCAGATTCTTCTGGGGCAAAATTTTCGTTCACAACTTGTGTAGAAATGATTATAAAAGTAAAAAAAAATGAAATGCCAATTTAATGATAATATTGCCTGGTCCACAATTCTTATCAAAGTAGGTGTTTATATAAACCAGGATAAAATACATCAAAACTTTCATTCACACTGACTGCATACATAAATACAACATACCTGCACCAAGAAAAAAGAGAAGAGAAAAAAGAGAAAAGAAAAAAGAAAAGAAAAAAAGAAAAGAAAAAGAGAAAAGAAAAAAAAGAGAAAAGAAAAAGAAAAAAAAGAACAGAAAAAGAGAAAAGAAAAAGAGAAAAGAAAAAAGAAAAGAGAAAAAAAAGAAAAGAAATAGAAAAAAAAGAGAAAAAAAGAAAAGAAAAAAGAAAAAAGAAAAGAAAAAAGAAAAGAAAAAAGAAAAGAAAAGAAAAAAGAAAAAAAAAAGAAAAGAAAAGATATGAAGCTGATATAAAATGGCTTTTTTTTTGTCTTTTTTATCGCTGCTTACTAATCCAGAACTTATACTAGAATCAAACCGCCTACATCCGGATAGAAATTGAATTCAGTAAATCTATATATAAAATTCTGTGACTTCCGTTCGTCCGTCCGTCACACATTCTAAAATAGCCATACATTAACCGATCGAAACCAAATTTGGGGGAGAAGTGCAAACAGGTAAGGGGGTATAAAATGTAGTTGGTTTTACCAGGATGCATAGCTTAGTACAATATATTTTTATTCATTTTTTTGGAAAAATTATAACTTTTATTAATTAACATATAAAATGTTGCCACGATTTTAAAAACAATTTAATGATTAAAATAAATACTTATTTAATAAAAATGCATTATTGCTTTTGCATATCTTTTCTTTAAGTCTTTATATATATTTAATTTTGGTAAAATATAATGCCCAGTAGTAGCACTGTAAATATAAGCACAGTAGGGAGAGAATTTCAAATGGACAGAGGAAGCAATTACTTCAACAATACTAAATATTGTGAAGATTTCAACACGTGTTGCAAAAAATTCTAGTACACAAAAATAGAAAGGAGCGTAAGACAAAGATGTGTCTTCTCACCGGACTTATTCAACCTTTACAGCAAGGTGATTCTGAGAGAATTAAAAGTCCTACCCGGATACATTATTAGCGGTCACAATCTTAGCATTAGAAATGCAGATAATACAATGTTATTAGCAGAAAAGAAAATCCAGGAACACCCACGGAAGGGAGTAAAGGAAAGCGAGAAGAAAGGACTAAACATCAATTCTAAGAAGTACCGAATGTATGGTTGCCAACAAAAGGGACAGCCCCAACATACGAATTACAAATTGGAGAAAATCAAGCAAGTACAAAATGTAAATATATAGAAAGCGTTTTAACAGAGGACGGAAAATGTGACATTGAAATCCGAAAACATCAAGGAAAGTAATCCGTTGCACCTTAGCAGGCTAAAATTCTCGACTGACATAAAGTGGGAAGACTATATTGAATCCATTGCTCGGTCTGCTGCTAAGAAAGTTGGTTCACTGTGTCATGCTAGACAATTTTTCTCTTCAGAATCTGTCTTGCTTATCTATAATTCTACCATTCATCCAAGCGTTGAATGTTGCAACCACATTTGGTCCGGTACTCCTGATATATATTTAGAGATTCTTGAGAAAATCCAAAAACAAATCAGCAATATTATTGATCCTGACCTGGCGTCTCGGCTTCAATTACTCCCTCACTGCTCTAATGTAGCTTCCCTGTGCTTTTTTTTTTATAGATACTTTCATGCTAATTGCTCGGATGAACTCTTCGCTGTCTTACCTAGACTTTATTAATTTAAGCGCAGCACTTGATTAGCGTAAATTAACACTTTCTTTTCTCGCACTTCTCGCTTGTGTAACTCTCTTCCGCCTCCATGCTTTCCGGGCAACTTTGATCTTCAAAAATTTAAATGCAATGTCAATCGTTATTACTCATCTATTGTTCTCGATCCATAATATTTCTCTGTTTTCTTATTCTTTCACACTCAGTAACCACCTTGCGTCTTAGCGGTTTTACTCTCTTCCCTGGAGTGAAATGATAAAAAAAATCAGTTTGCTACGTTATGCTAGACAATCTGTTTCGCTTGAATCTATCTTGCACACTTACAAGTCTACCATTCGTCCGTGCATAGAATATTGCCGGGGCTTCTGCTCTGTATCTAGAGATTTTTGACAAGTTTTAAAAACTATATCTGCAATGTATCGGTCCTGACCTCGCATCTCGTCTTCAATCATTTTCGCAACGCCGTAAAGTAGCTCCCCACTGTGCCTTTTCTAGAAATATTTTCACGGTAATTGTTCTGATGAGCTGCCCTCTTTGCTACATCGATTTCACGAATTTAAGCGCAGTACTAGATTGGTAGATAGGTCTCATAATTTCCCTATTGCTATTTGTAGCCGTTAGTTATATGTTATTAGCTTATTGTCACGCACTTCTCGCTTGCTGAACTCTATTCTCGCTTTTCTGCCAACTACAATCTTTAATTAAATTCAGTTTAATTTGCCATCTTCTTTCTCCTTGAAATCGTTTTTTTATTCCTCTTTCTGTTTCTTTCATTGTCACTAACCATTTGCATTTTCGCGGCTTTTATTACCTTGCTTGAGGTTAAACGAGGAAAAAAGTAAAAAGATAAATAATAACTTCGATATTTCTGGTGTTACAAAATGATAAACACCATATTTTATAATTTTTAACCTAAAATTTGTTTTAGCAACTTTAGATACACTTTGTTGTGGATTGCAAATAAAATATAAACGAATGCTAATGATCAAGATTTAAGGCAAACATTAATGACACAAAAGAACTATTATATATAATATAAAAGAAACAAAAACTATTATATTCCGGTAAATTTGCTTTTTAAGCCCCGCTCCAAATCTTACTTATTATAAAACGCAGATTGTGTGTGTGTCTGTACGTTTATATATGGGATCGGATTTCCTACATTTTTCAACCGATTTCAACAAAACTTCACAGGACTACGTAAAATTACCTTGTGGTGGTTCTAACAACGCCAAAAATTGGAAAAACACTATTGTTTTTGCACAAAATCAATTTGAAAACACAATTAAGAGGCATTAATGAAAGGGGGACAACTCATTTCGAGTTATACTTATTAATATCGAGTTATACTTATTATAAAACCCAGGTTGTGTGTGTGTGTGTGTGTGTGTGTGTGTTCATTTATATATGGGATCGGATTTCCTACATTTTTTCAACCGATTTCAACAAAACTTCTTTTTTTTTTTGGCAGGTAGTGTTTCTTATTGTCTTGCACTATTTTTTTTTCTTTATTTTTACATTCAAAATGCTTTAAAAATTCCATTTACAAGACAATTGTTTATAATAAAATTCTATTCAGTCGGTAGACTCATAATGAGTGAAAACAATGTTTTTGTTTCAGTTTGGGTTTGACCAATTCATAAAAAAAAACAAAAAAAAAAACTAAAAAAACTAATTAAGACATGCGTGTCCGTCAACCTTAAACAATCTTTGTCAATTTTACTTTTCAGTCTTTATGATGGTCGATACTTGATCTATCTCTTACTGTTACATCCCCAGGCAACGCCAGGCTCTACTGCTAGTATCTATTAAAATTTTCCCAAATCGTCATATTTCCGTGTAAATGTATATGCTGAACTCGAAATAACAATTAAATTTTGATAAAACCTACCGTTTTGGAGTCATCGACAATAAAAGTTCGAACTCGGTCGCGTTCAGACGTCGGCCATTACTGGCCTTGTTTAACTACATTCAGTGCGGAACATTTTGTGAGTGGAAGCTTAATTAACAGCCTTTTTACTGCTCTTAACTGATCTTACTGGTGTCGGAAAGCGATGACAAGTATTTTTTTTTTCATAGTAAACCCCTTTTTCTGTGTAGAAAAGCAATTACAACTGTTGTAAAGCTTTTATTTTAAATTAAAAATAAAACAAATAATAATTAATGAGCAAACTTTGTAAAGAGCATAAATATTTACAAAATAAAATTACAAAAAAAAAAAAATGCTAGAAAGGAAATAATAATTAATGATCAAAGTTCGCGCAAAGTTTGCGCATTAATTATTATTTGTTTTATTTTTAATTTAAAAGAAAAGCTTTATAACAGTTGTAATTGCTTTTCTAAACAGGAAAAGGAGTTTACTATATATATATATAAAAAAACAAAAACATTTGTCATTTCTTTCCGACACAACTTAAGTTCGCAGTAATTTAGACGAGTAAGATCAGTTAAGAGCAATAAAAAGGCCGTTAAGTTTCTGCGCGCAAAGCCAGTAATGGCTGACGGCTGAACGCGATTGAGTCCGAACTTTTATTATCGATAATACCAAAACGGTAGGTTTTATCAAAATTTAATTGTTATTTCGAGTTCAGCGTGTACAGTTACACGGAAATATGACGATTTGGAAAAATTTTAAGAGATATTTAGAGCGGGACTTAAAAAGCAAATTTACCTATATTCCTTATTATTCAGGCTAGTATGCTCATCTCAGCTGTTATACGCACAACATTTCGGTCGTTGTACTGTTCGGTCTTCACCGTGCTCAGTAACTTTCGCTGAATTTTGAACTGAAAACTTTATTCAATCCAATTGTTTTAATCTTATCCTCCATTCTGAGGAGATGCTCCATATACGTTGACACGTCTGTTTTATTCAACTTTGTATAGTTTCTGAACCACAATATGTGACTACTAGATCCACCCAGTAAAACTCTTAAGAAATCAGTTATGTTTTAACCAATACTTTAATCCACTTGTCAATGTGTCTCTTGTACAGTCCAGCGGTGAAATTTGGGATCCTTAAACAAATTGTCTGTACTCCAGTAGTAGAATTTATGAATGTCCTTTCTTAATCAGAGGCTCCAGTATGGTATTTATTCTTATGCTTGGACTACTGAGAAGGTTATCAGTGCCTAGCATCCCCGTTGATTCTTTCAGTAGTCTTCACCTTCAATTTTCTTGACTTCATTCCACATGGGTTGATGACCACTATTTTCCCTCTAAGTATTATCAGCCATGCCTGATGTCAATGCTTTTTCCCAGGATATAACTTGCAATGTTCCTCCGGCTTTACTTTCTACGAGCAGTTTGTTTCTCCATTGTATTCTTTGGTACAACTGCATAAGATGGAATGCACACTAGTTCTTGTTCATTGATTTTGGATTTCGATGGGTTGAATTGTTTTTGAATAGTCTTGATGTTGATCAAGATCACCGTAGATCATCTGAATCTTTTCTTCAAGGTAGATGGACTGTGGAAGATTCATTATTGTTCTTGGAACTTTTGTCTCTACTCGTGAAATCTATTGCTATGCTTTCATGGTGGTTGTTACGTTGAAGGTTATTTCTAAGAATGGAAAGTGGAATTAGAACACTATATGCACGTGGACTGAATAAAATTTGCGGTTGAAAATTTCGATAAGGCTATTGAG